AAAAGTCTATACAGTTGTTCTAACTGTTCCTTACTGAATAAAAGATGTTACAACAGCAGATTCTATGCTCCCATTTTGCTCGGTGGTGGAGTGAAAGGCCTTTAGGTCACAATTTGGTTGATTGGGAATCCTTGGCTTCCAATTAAGGGGTTTCCCATTTAACTCCCAACAAATTTCTCCAGTATGACGTGCTTTATGGCAATGATCACACCATACTTTTTCTCCTTTCTTATTTGCCCGTGCCTGGAATGGAGAATTATTGTGATTGCTTTTGGTCACAAGGGTTGAAACTTCTAAGGTAAATGAGTTTTTTTCCCCTAGCATAACTCGACGTCGACCTTCTTCTTGTCGCACTTCTGCAAACACTTCCCGGATTGATGGTAGTGGAGATTTGCCAAGAATCCAGTCTCAAATTTCGTCCAAACTTTCATTCAATCATGTCAATAACTCAAAAACACGGTCATTCTCCATTCTTTTCAAATAACATGCAGTATCTATTGCACACGCCCAATTATATCCTCATAGCAGAGATCAAGTTCCTGCCATAATGCCTTCATCTCGTTGTAATACTCAGAAACCTCACGATCACCTTGCGTCGTCTGTCAAAGCCTTGTTTTCAACTCAAAAGTCTGTGAAAAATTTTCGAGATTTGAATACATTTTTCGGACAACATCCCACACATCTTTCGCAGTGGGAAGAAACAAGTATGTTTTCCCAATTGAAGCCTCCATTGAATTGATCAACCAGGCCATTACAAGGGAGTTTTCTGACTTCCAAATCCGCCATGTTGGATCTGTATTTTCTGGCTCCTTTGTCTCACCGGTAAGCTAGCCAAGTTTGCCTTTGTCATCGACTACCAATTTAATAGATTGCGCCTATTCCAGGTAATTTTTTCCGTTCAATTTGTAAACGGTTAATTGTATTGGGGAATTTTCAATTCCGTTGGGGATTGCAGATCCCGACGATAACAACGTCCCGGAGTTATTTCCAGAAGATGTGGCAGTGGAACTAATGTCACTTATCCTCACTGTTCAAGGCATGACTATTTGCACCATCACAAAAAAAAACTGATAAAAAGAGAAGGATTTAAAATTAAAAATTTATTCAGGCCAAGCTAGCCAACGTGGCTCTGATATCATGAACGCAAACAAGAAAAAGAAGTTTTTTTCTTATTTATTTTTTTGTTATTTTCAGCAGGTACAAAATGCTGAATTTATAGAGTTTTATATCCATATTTGCTCTTCCTAATTTTAGGAATAAATAACTATATAATCAATAGCAATATCTCCTAAAAATTACAGCAATAAATCATTAAATATGTAATAATAACTCCTAAAAATCTGCAATAATAAATTTTAAAAATATGCGGGAATAATTTTAAAGATGAGCAGTCAATTCTTTCCATATTTCTACTGTGTATGAGACTTTTCGATATTATTATGGTTAAACACCAACCATTGCAGAGGATCCATATCAATAACCAACAAGTAATTTATGCCCCCTTAAACCCTCGAGTACTGAAAAACATATGCTGAATCCCGAGTACATATTGAAAAACTCACCAATAGACATCCACTGGGGAGGCCGAATTGCACATTTGCCTCTCTTTTTCAGTGCCACCGCAAGCCAGAGTGGCACCTGAGTGGGTATCTGCGGAAAAAACGGACCAAAATCTCCCTGAAACCGAATAAAATCACAAAATATGTTCAAAAAGAATACATTAGGATATTAACAGATCAAATAAAATGTGATTCATGTTGATAGAGCTAGGGCAAAATCGACGATACACAGATGAAATTAAGTGGATCCATTCTCATATTTGGAACAATCTCTATTAATTCATCCTCCGCCATGAACTCGACCTGAACACCAAAAATTCCACTCAATTTCAAACAACTGAGAGAAAATATTCTCATTCGTAAGTACGCCGATGAATGTATATATATGTATGTATGCGCCTACCATCCCAGGGAAAGATAAATTACCTCTTGAGCAGAGAAGAGCGAGACGTGAGGATCAGATTGACCGGCCATGAGTATAGGGTAGAGAATATAGGGTTTATGATTCCAAAAATGGATGTTAATTTTGATTTGAAATAAAAGAAGGCCGCGATTATCTTGCAGCTACAGAGGTAGGAACTTTGATTACTTCTATTGAGATGGAATCCAGAAGGTTTGCGGTTGCCGATCACGTGAACCCTAAACTACCGTGCGTATATGAAGGCGGGAAAGGAAGCGAGGTGCTTACCCCTTCCCGCTTATACATGGGAGCCTGTTGATAAATGCGCGGGAATCGGGGTCCTCTTTGGACCTTTAAAAAAAAAGTTTTAATTGGAAAGACAAACAATAATTTTCAATTTAATAATAAAAACTCTACCTTTGTAATAAAATATGAAATTTGGAATATCATAAGATTTAACTAAATCGTCATATAATCAAAGGAAATCTTAGGTTTTTTCTCAAAATTATGAAATTCCTTTCAAAATTTATCTACTTTTATTTAATCTTAATCTACTTAATTTTACATAATATTTATGTTGAGTTTTATTTTATAGCTTAGATATTTTTTTAAGTTTACATTTAGTTTCAATATATATTTAAATTAACTTTAGTTATATTTTGAGTTCAATAATAATAAATTTATAATATTACTTATTAACAAATAAATTAAAATATTCAATTTTTTAAACAATATTTTGAATATAACTCAAATTTTAATCATTTGGTCCTCAAGTAAATTATAAAATAAGATACAAAAATAAAAATTTACATATAATTGATTTCAGATAAAACTATATTTACTAAAAATTATTTTAATGGAAAATATTAGAATTTAGAATTGAAATATTATTTTAATTTGACTTTTAATTTTTGACATTACCATTAATTTAATCCAGGAGTAATATTTTTTAATTATTAAAAAAAACAGCAACACGAGACAAGCATGGGCCCTGAAGCATGATAGCACGAGTGGTGCATAGGAAAGCTAAAGCTGACGTGGCTTCAGCCGTTTCGACCAAAGAACCAAAACGACACCTGATCCGCTCATTCACCACCCGCTTCGTAGGACGCACGAACCCGGTGGGCCACAAACAACAGGCCACAAATATAAAAACCAGCTGCTCCATGCCACTTTTAACTGTATTTACATAAATACCCTCATTCTCCCATGAGAATATTCGCATGTATGTGTACACAATTGTAATTTAATAATCCAGGGAAATTTGCTTTATAAGTAGGGTCTAACTGTGAGCTCTCATAGAAAAACCAGTAGCCACTCCCTTGTCGCTCCAATATTTTCCTCGGCTTTGCATTGTGCTGTTCATCGCGATCATCGTCAGAAACATGGGGAGGAAGTTCTTCGTCGGCGGCAACTGGAAATGCGTGAGTTTCAGTTCTATTATAGTGTTTGATGTTAATATTCTCTTTAGTTGATAATTGATTATCGGATCTGTTTGTCTATCGGCAAATCTAAGGAGAATTGGAAGAGAAAATGGAACTTGGACGTTTTATTTTGCTGTTTGACTCTTAACAGTCAATTGATCTAAGCCGGTTTCCTTGTCAGATCGCTTTTTGTTATCGAAGTACTCTGTTAGTGTAGATCAGTAAGATATTTTGCCGTTAGATCTAGGAATGACTTTTGTTTTAATTTTTTCTTTTTGCAACGGAGATTGAATGTGGATTGGTCTTGATATTCATGCCTTGATCATTTCTTCTTGTTATCTTTTTGACTTTAATGGCGAAGGTATTTCGATGTGCATGCATGCTGGCTTCATTTATTTTCCTATTGCTTCTCTAATCATAGCCTAGTTATATGTTATTTGGTGTGTTATACGTTTAATTCGTGAAATTTAAAGTTGGATTTGGCTGAATATGCTTTGCATGTAGAATGGAACTACGGAGGAGGTGAAGAAGATAGTGAACAAACTCAATGAAGGTGAAGTGCCATCACAAGATGTTGTTGGTAAGTGAATCGTTTTAACTTAGTTATATTTCCCGTATGCGTCCTTATTTTTCTTACACCACTAGAGTTTAAAACAATATTGACTTTGATTAGTTATAACTAATAGAAGAGGTAAGTCGGAAGTTATTCACTGGCAACTTGTTTCATTGTATAATGATCTGATTGTGTCTACCCCTAGTTAAAATTTCCATGCTGCATTTAGAACTTGGTAGAATTTGAACCCTCTAAACTGTTGCAGGGCTTTGGTCAATTTGTCTGTTTTTATTCTACTAAAAGATTCCTGTATGTTGAATATTCTTTTGATAGCTCAAGGCATAATCTATTTCTTGTATCTCTTTGTTATTCTTCTCCATGATTGTCAGTTAATCATCATTTTGTTTATTCTTATCATGCCGAAAAAGGCACTGATGCCCATGGATTGTTGACGCATTGACATACTAAAGACTTAATTCTTCTGCAGAAGTTGTGATAAGCCCGCCATTTGTGTTTCTTCCACTGGTGAAGGACTTGTTGAGGCCGAATTTTCATGTTGCAGCTCAAAATTGTTGGGTCAAGAAAGGTGGTGCTTTCACCGGTGAGGTTAGGTATGTTATAATTTTTCTGTTAATAGTATCTCTTTGTGACATAGGTTAATCAAAACATTTGACATGTCCTTTTCAAAATGACTTTTTTCAGAGGAAACTTTTCAAAGCTAACTTATTCTTGGAGTCAGATGGGGCATTCTACTTGAATTTAACTTGTTATTTTAAATTTATTGAGAAATTATTCTATTAAAAAACCAATGAGAAATTAAATTTAATTGATGCAAGGAAAGGATGGTGAGGTATTTTACTGAAGGAAACATGTACGGCGACATCAGTTATGTTTTTCAATATACATAAAAGTGCCTTTTACCACAGACAAGTGCTTTAGGCTGGTTGCAATGGCATAGGATTGTTTTCTCTTCAGAGTTTCTTTTAATTCAATTTTAGTTGGACTTGTCTTGGCTCGACCCTATAGCCGTTATTTTATTTTATTTGTCATTTGCATGTTCTTACATTGTCTTGCATTTTTCTACATGGACAAGATACATTCTGAGTTTGAATTGTAATGAATATGGCTTGTGATATTTTACCTGTAAATATAAAAGGTTTATTTTGTATAAAAATATGTAGATTGTGCATGGGTAATATAAGCAAGAAATCCAGCAAGAAATACAGAAGACAATAAAACAGGAAAGACAGAAAAGTCCATCAGCACTCTGAATCAAGATTCAAACGCATTTTGTTCGTTTTTCTTAGTAGAGTACAAATAATGAAATATTTAAGTGGTGGCTAAAAGGAAAAAAAATTATGTATTTTTATCTCAAAAATATGTATGTAACTGGAATTTATCATATTGCAATGGCTTTGCCCATGACCCCCAACCCTCTTGAGTGGTACAATAGTTGAAATATACTTTGGTCTCCCATAAGAAAAGTTATGCTGATTCTACCACTGTCTTTTGGTGAATTTGTGTCTTATTTATGTGCAGTGCTGAGATGCTTTCCAATTTGGGTGTTCCATGGGTCATTCTTGGTCATTCTGAAAGGCGGCAACTCTTAGGTGAATCAAATGAGGTAAGCTATTTCAACAGTCAAGCACTGAATTATATCGGGCAACGTAGGCTTCCTTCATGATGCCCCTCTCACTAACTTTTCTCTTCTGAGGGTACTCCTGAAATTTCCTAATGAGCAAGGACTAAGAATTGATCTTTCTGTATATTATAGTTTGTTGGAGATAAGGTTGCATATGCACTTTCTCAAGGTTTGAAGGTGATAGCTTGTGTTGGTGAGACTCTTGAGCAGCGTGAAGCAGGATCTACTGTGGATGTTGTTTCTGCACAGACTAAAGCAATTGCAGGTATATAGATGCAAACTCTTTCTAGAAATTTATGGTTCATTTGGTGCTAATAAATTTCTTGTTGAGACTGTTATTCATTTCTGTCGTTATGGTAGTTGTTATGCATCAAGGGTGTTTAGGATGGTAGAAAAGGAGGGGTTGGAGCGAAAGGAATGGGTTAATTTAGTACCTCATTGTAGGTTTTTAGTTTTTTGTGGTGGGATATTTCTATTTACTGCACTATTCCCTGATAGATCTTTTGTTGCTAGGGCGAATTATTATTTTCTTCTTCCCTCTCTCCATTTCCCCCTTACCAAGTGGATTTTACACATATCGTTTCTTCCTCTAGTGTCTACATTGTATGAATTCTGAAAAATAGATGGATAAAACTGCAGAAAAAAAAAAGTGTGTCCTTGCATCCTGATATTGTCTTTGGAAAGTTATCTGTGTGTCCTTTCCATCAAAGGAGTAATTTTGGGAAAACATTTCTCACCAATGTTTCTACCATTAAAACAGATGGAGATTGGAGCATATTGGTCTCTTGCCTTTTTGTTTCTTTTTCATTTATCCCTCGCCAATACTAATTTGGTTTGGCTTAAAGAACTTTTTACATTCAATTTTTAAAGACAAAAGTGGTCTTCCCTTAGGGTTCATTTGCATGAAAGAGGTGGAGCTGTGAGGGTAATTTGGTAAAATGCAAGTCTTAATAATTTTGGTTCATGTTTACCTCATATTTTGCTCTGAGGACTTAATAATGCTCATTTCATCCCTATTTTCCCCTCCCAACTTGACCCTTAAAAAGCCAGTGGTGCTCATTTCATTCATCTTCATCGGCCTGTTGGAATGAAGTTCTCATTTAAGCCACTGGGATTGAAACCAATGCTTACTATTAATTTTAGGGAAAAATATTGATACGTTCTTGAGTGTTAAGATTGCGATTAATTTTGTTTTGAAATACAGAAAGATTGCAATTAATAACTTTGAGAAATCAGACTGCACTAGTATTTATATCACTTTGATTGTAGTCCTTCTAATTTGTATAAAAGGATCTCTCAATTTCTGCTTTTTTGTCTGTGCTTTAAGTATATAAATATTTTCATGATGTTGCTAGAAAAAATCTACATAAGTCAGTCAGTATATTATTTTAGGAGTTTCAGTTGACTTTTTAATCAATTCATCTCAGAAATTTGAAGTTTATTTTAAGCATGCTAACAAATTTGTGTGCATCAACTTGTGAGCTAAATGTGCCCTGACTCTTTTCACCTCTTAATGCCAGAACGAGTGTCAAGTTGGGCTGATATTGTTATAGCCTATGAACCCGTGTGGGCCATTGGAACTGGGAAGGTTGCAACTCCAGCCCAGGCACAGGAGGTAAGTCAGGCAACTTTGTTAATGAAATTTTTGTTTTAGTTTTTTTGAGACTCGCAGTCAATATGGTGATTTATGTGGTAAATTTGTACCCTGGAGAGTATATAGGGGCTTGAGCCTGGGCAATGCTCGAAAGAAAGTTGATAGTGTGATCATTAGCAGTATGGAACAGTGAAAGCCCTTTCTTATATAGGAAAAAGGGGATATGATATAATAAAATTAAATAGTTTGATGGGTTTAAATGTATGAAATGAAATGCTTTTTAGAACTAAGGCTGATTCTCATTGTCTCCAAAAATTAATTTTTCTGATACAAACTAATGACCGTTTTTTTCTTTAAATAAGATCAAGTTCTTAAATTGATGCACAGCATACTTATTTCAACTCATATTTAAGGACTAATTTAATACCGAAAATACTTGTTTGAAACAAATTTGAAGGTTCAGACACCTGATTGTGACTAACATGTACTTAATGTAGACTTAATGGTTCTTTGAGCTTCTGCTCCAAACTTCTCTAGGTATTATAACAGGTTCGCTCTGAAATGTAACAGGTTCACTCTGAACTGCGGAAATGGCTTAGTGCAAACACCAGTCCGGAAGTTGCTTCAACAACCAGGATTATATATGGAGGTAAATATATTTATGACACATGCTCATCTTATTGCCATGACTTCTGGATCCCATTTTTGTTAAAGCTGCAAGGACATGTTTTGAGGAGCTGAATAATTTTTGTTCTCAAAGAAAAGGGAAACATTTATCTGCTATTCCTTTGTTATATGATGTCCTTTGACAATTCTATCTTTTATCACCATGAAAGTAAAAGGCATTAAACTTCGACGACTCCTGAGAGATGAAAGCTAGTGCTCTAGAATGTTAAATTGATAACATGAACTAATAATCCAGTAGATCTATCAGTCTTCTAGTTTTCTTTATGTTTCATTATTGATGTACATCTATTTTTCAGGGTCTGTCACAGCTGCAAACTGCAAGGAGCTGGCTGCTAAGCCTGATGTTGATGGGTTTTTGGTTGGTGGAGCTTCCCTAAAGGTAATGACTATGTTACTTGGTTTTCAAAATTATTCAGTCTTTTTGTTATCAAGCCTCTACATGGGTTGTTTGCTATTTTTCCCAGCCCGAGTTCATTGATATTATTAAGTCGGCCGAGGTGAAGAGGAGTGCCTGACCTTGATGTTGAGCACTTTAAGTGAATCTTTTGCGGTTTTGTTCAAGGAGGTGTAACATCCATCCCTGTAAAACTGTAGTCATGCTTTATTTTAGAGAGAAATAAGTTTGCACTTTTTGTATTTCGATCAGCATCTCAGAACTCTGTTTATGTATCAATAAATATTTTCACCATTTCTCTCCAAACCAATGCTTCTTTATACTGTTGTATGACCATGCTTTTTATATTGTTCTATCTGTCATGGGTGACATCGCTTTGAGGCATCTTTTTGTATATATCTCCGCCTTTTGTCAACTTGGGAGGAGACTGGTAATCATGTTGCGTAATTTACCTCCCTGTGCAATACCTATCTATATTCAGAGTAGCACAGTTTAACTTTAGTAACAACAACGTTGTGAGAAAAAACACATTAGACGTTTTGGAGCATGATAAACTGGAACACTTTCCAGATGTGACTGATCTACTTTAAATTTGTGCCAAAGGAAACTATCATTTTATAGTGGATCAATCAAATTCATAGGATGATTTCATATATTGCTATCCATAATCACCTTCAGGTTGAGACATTTAGACACTCGGATATCTGAAGCAAACCAAAAAATAGAACGGTCCAATACTATCCTTTTATAGGGGGAAAGCCCTTCCGTTTATGACTGCTATTCTCTGACAAAAAGGTTACGTTTGCGCAAAGGGGTTGATGCGCAAGAAGCTAATATTTGACTAGTTTTTCTCTTTTCTCCTCGTAAATTTATTTCTGGTCGCTTTTTGCTGCCACGAGTTTTGACTGACTGCTCCAGTCAGCAGATGAGCAAATGATAGAATTCTAGAAGTCCAGTGTTAGATTAGCAAATCGAATTTGGGTTTTGCCTTAGATTAAGACGCCTGCTTCTCTATACTTTATTTGATTACTCTGGTTGAATTATTTTTCAAAACAGGGATGAAAATCAAGCGCATGGGTAAACAACAATTATTAACTAAATAAGTTGTCGGTTAGATGGAGTATATGTTTTATTTTTAGCCGTTTTATTCCTTTTGTGCATTAAGATAAAACTCTTGAGTGCGTTTGGTAAATTGCATTATGTGATAGACTGAAGTGAGAAAAAATAATATAAGAAATGTGATTTTGATGTTTACATTATTGCATTATTTGATAATAGGATAAGATTCAGCCAAGCATGACTACTCGAAATTTGTATTAAAAGACATAAGGTCGTTGAAATCTTTTCCCTTCCGATATCGGATGTCAATTTGGATTTCCTGTTAATTTTATATTCTTCTTTTAATTGAATACTCAGAGTAATATTTTTTTCCAATAATATGAGTATGGACTATTAATCCGATAATGTGAGTATGAGAACGATGTGGGATTTTCGTTTTAAGTTTTGTATGTGTCTTTGAGTGAGTCTCCCTCTAAAATATAACACTTACTCTAATCAAATCTTCTAAATAAATTTTTATTTAAAAAAACAATCAAAATTGTTTAATTTGAATAACTATTGATAAAATTTTTAAATTTTAGTTTTGGATGATTATCTTATTCAAATTTTCTTTGGAAATATGAGTCACAGATATCTCTCGACTACTTCACGGTAGTTGATTCGTGTAATCTGCAATTACACTGAAACTCTAAATTTGATGCCAGAAGCCTCACGTTAGTTACTATCAAACAGTATCGACAGATGGTTGATGATGAAAGAAATAGGCTATTGGTTATGTGAACTTCGAGAGTCAACAAGAGAACCAGCCATTAAATATTTATTCATATGTTTCAATTGGTTGGTTCCTTGCGAAAATAATTTAGAGGGCATTTAGGGCGGCTTTCCGTCTAAATTTTTAAATTTTAGAAATATTTTTACGATTAAACAAAACTAGTATTAAAATATGTTTGTGATAGATTTAAATATAAAAATTTCAGTTTGTAGATTTTATAAAATAATTTTTATTTTTAATAAAAAAATTATATATAAAATTTCAAAAATTATTTTTATCAAACACATTATTTTTAATTACAAAACAAGATAATTATTTATTTAGATAGCCAGGCTAATCTAATAGATGATAATTTAACATGATCAGAAATTTTTAAGAATTTACTTTTTATTATGTCATTATGACGGATCTGTGATTTCATCTATTTGACCAATCTTAGCTTATCTTGGAGTGGGAAAAAATAAATAAATGTTGAAGGCAAGAGAGGACGGTATTTAATTTGCATGTAAAATGGAAGTTGAGAAATAAAATTTAACATGATCACATGCAATTTTCTGGTGGGTCTCCTGGATTTAATGGCTACTTGCTACTAATTAAACCACACATGTGAATTTTCAATTGCTTCATTTTCAACGGCTTCATCATTCCGATTGCTAAGCATCTTGATGGGATTCTCTCATTCTTGTTTGTTTAATAATTTTTGCATTATCATTAAATTAATCTCCATTTCAATTAATAAAAAATTATTTTCCAAACAAAAATACAATTTAGTTTTAGAATAAATTAAATTTTACTTTGAATCCAATTTACAAAGTCAAAACTTATTTCTAATTTAACTAATTCTTAGTAATTCTACTTCCAACTCAAATTTACAAAATCAATTGCAAAGCCTAATATTATAATTGTGAAAAAGTTATTATACTTCAAACATTGATTCTAACTATTAGAGATTTTGAATGATGAGAAATAATAATTTAGTCAAATTGAAGAGGGTTTATCCAATTGAAAAGATTAAGATCAAAATTATTGCAAAAGTTCATTTTTAAATCAAAATTGAAGAGGGTTAATCCGGTAAGATAAACATAGTAGAACAAAGGGTCAAAAAAAAAAAAACCAAAAGTGATAATTAACACACGTATTTGTTAGCTTAATATAATACTATTACGTATATATCATCATTATTATACATCTACCAAGAATTATTGCAAAAGTTCATTCAAATCAAAATTGAAGAGGGTTAATCCAATGAGAGAAATACAGTAGAACAAAGGGTCAAAAAAATACCAAAAGAAATAATTAACACACGTATTTGTTAGCTTAATATAATACTATTACGTATATATCATCATTATTATACATCTACCCACAACTTATTAAAAGTCAAGAATTACAAGCTAGAAAAGTCAATAGAACTCACGAGACTTTCCCTTTAAATATATTTTTTTTTATTAATTATTATTTTTTAAAATATTTTTCCTACGAGAGGAGGACATGAAAACTTCCAAATCCGATTTTCAAAATTAAGCTGCCGAAAAGAATGTTTCATTGTTTTGACGAGTTTTCATTATTATCTCTTTTATGGTTACAATCATTTAACCAATTCCTATTTTGGTTTTTTTTTTATTTTTTTCCTTTCTTGGCCTAATAATCCATTCCCTTAATTCTTCTTTTCGTTAATTAATTAAGCAATATAATATACTTAATGAAAAATTAGTGGATGTATACGTATACATAGGTCGTCTGTCTATTTTAATTTTACATTAAAATATATAATATTTGATTGTAATATATTCTTGATGCATATAAAAATAACATATAATAGAAATGAATTTTAAATGACTTTATTTGCTCACAGTTTGAATTCTTTTTGATGATTTATTTCATTCTTATTTGAGAAAGTAAGAACAAAAACCCCAATTAACTAAATTTAGAAGTAGAAGGGATTCAAATACTTTTTTAAAAAAATATTTATATATATATATGAGCTCATTATATGAAAACCTTTTGGCAAATTAATAATTTTTTTTAAAGTACCATCGTCATATTTATCTCAAATGTTTGAAATTAAAAATCGATTTAAGATATTAAAAATTTTAAAATGTTAAACCATTTTTATATGTGTTTAATTATTCTTCAAAAGCAAATTTTTAACATATTTTAATAAATAAATAAATATATATATATATATAAATATGAATCAACAATCCATTAATAATGAATTTAGTAAATATCATTTAGGCATTCATAAAAATTAAATTTCACTTGATTCATAATCCTCGAACAATTCCCATTTTAGGTCACAAACAAAATGATCACATGAAAATGTTTGGCTTTACTCATCAACTTGAAATAGTATTGCATGCATCACCCACGCCATAACATGCCAAAAGCCATTAGTTGACTTATACCAATCTTTTTTAATGTATTCATTCAATTTTGTCCGGTTGGTCAACTTGAATTTGAAAACCCTCTTAATTAATTGCACACAGATTTATCAGTCCTCCTCGTGACTATCATCAACAAGAAGATGACATCTTGTTACATTATATAATTGCGAAAATAATTCAAATTTATTTATTTGTTCCAAAGCATATTCTTACATTATTTTTATAAAAAATGTTAAATTATATTTTTAAATCTAAATTAAATAAAAAATTTAATTATTACAAAATATCTATTTCACTTTAATACGTTACGAGTCTCTAGAATTATATTAAATTTTATCATCTTAATTCTATCAGTATATTAATAAGTTAAACTATTAATTTTATTGAACTAAATATCTAAATCGATCACCATAAATTTGTAATACACGTATAAAGTAACGAATTTTATATTTTCAGTGAGATTAGAACTCGTCATTTTTAATATCATTATTATTTTTAATTAGTACTTTTAATATTATCATAATATTGTTATCTACTTTTAATGTACTTTTAGAATAAAAGGATTTTTTATCTTGTAAATTTGTAAGTTTTTTTTTTTTTTTTTTAATTTAAAACTGTTTACCTTTAATTTTCCATTAATACAGATTTTTTTTTGTATGTTGTAATAAATCAAAATAATATACAAACAATTTACAAGTAAATTTAAAATATATAAGAATTATAAAATAAGATTTTTCGTTACAATGATATATATATATAAAATAAAGAATATCATAATTAATTTTTAAAATAAATAAATATTATAATTCTACTTGTGGTTAATGTCTCTCTCTATATATATATATATATATCATGGCTACCACGGGTGCTTGTCTTTTCCTTTTAATATCCTCATAATCACCGCGCAATTAAAATGCCACTCAAAAAGGAGCCGACAACCATAGATCAAATGGATAATTCTATTTTCACCACCTTCTTCCTCTAGAATGCACTTTTCCTTCCTCAAATAATTACGCCAGTGAAATGCATAAACACGTTCATATAAATAATTATCTTTCATCTATACGCTTCCTTCCAGGGTGAAGATTCTTCGGGTGATCCCCAACTTGATCAAGATTTATAATAATTTAAACTGAAGGGCGAGTCAACCCTTCCACTTTCGTCCTTTGCGAAGCTAAGAACTTTCGCAGAAGCCAAACAAAACACACACGCTCTACCAAAAAAGTAATAATAAAAAAGAAAAAACCCATATGCTTTTGGCTCTCTATTTCTTCGTTTCCCACCTGTTTTAATAATATCCTTTTACCAGTCAAAGTATTCAATCCTACGGTTGCGATTATGGCTGACAGCTAACCTTACGTATAAAGCCTCCGTTCTCACACCCCAGGTCTCTAGCTCATTCTCGTCTCACGACTCTGGTTTTTGCTCTGTGTAAACTTTTCTTTCTGGGATTTGAGTTTTCAACTTTCCATTTTTGTGCTGGCTCTGTTTCTATATCAGCAGGGACTTTTTTTTTCTGGTTGTTTGGTGAAAAAGTGAAGAGACTTGAGCTTTGTGTTTATGTGCTTATGGGTTCTTGCCTTAGCTCCAGAGTCAAAGCTGAGAGTCCTCTTCACAATGGTATGTTTTCTAATTTTCATCTACTCGTCTATTTGAGCTTTAGATGATTGAAATCGTTACTACTTTTCTGGGATTTTGCTGGAGTTTCAGGTGATTTTGTTTGATTGATGAACAATAGGTGTAGATGGGTCGGACTTATTTTCTTGAAATTTCTAGGCTTTGTTTGTTCTGTGCGTTTGCTGGGTTTGATTTTGGTGGGAGGCCTGTTTGGTTGGTGAGAAAAGGTGGCAAAAGAAGGGAGATTGGCAAAAAGTTTGATTTTTAGCTGCACATTTGGGTTATACTCAATATGGTACCATTCTCTAGTTAAGTTTTTAGTAGAGATATTTACTTGATCTAGTTCATTTGAAGCTAACCATTGGGAGACAAACAGCAACCTATACAAAATTTAGAAGAAAAGAAAACTAAGTTGCTTTCCATTTTGTCTCGGTTGCTTTCAAGGTTAGTGGCCTATTAGGGAAATTATTTCCGCATCGATATGAGAATCTGTTGCATCCTCTATCTATCCTATATTGGGTCGCCATCGGGGCGGACAGCTAGCTATGTGGGCCAGGAATGGATAGTCTGGTTCTTTATGTCACTCGACTGATAAGGAGGCATCTTATGACCTAGAGTCCCGGGTCCTTGAACCAATTTTGAAGACCGACCAATCTTAGGCTTCCTAGAGGGTTCATTAATTGCAAACGAGAAGACTGTTGAAATAATGAAATAGAATCTTTTTAGCAAAACCCATTTCTTCTCTTGAAGTATATGCTAATAATAATTCTATTTTGAGATCTTGCACATTAAGCTTATATAAACCATGGTATGTTTTGATTTTTCCTATGAATTTGGATGGTGCCGCTTTATAACCGAGGATAGAGTACTTCCTGAAATATGCTTACTCCATCATTTTGTTTGATTGATTTAAGCTTGATAAGTGATGTTTTAGAAAATTTGTTGGAGAAATGTAGGACAGATTTGGAAAGCTTTATTTCTATGCTTCTCCTTTTGTAGCTTTATTAATCTTTGAAAAAAAATCAAACTGGAGATTCATTTTTTTCTGGTTTAATTTAGTGGGCGAATTTTTACAAGATACATATTGTTGATTATGTGCAGGAACAGATTCAAGATATGATAGCCCAAATGGGAACGGCGTAAGTGTTTTAAGCAGCAAGGTGTCATCAGTCTCGCTCTCTAATAGGACAGAGGGTGAGATCTTGAAGTCATCCAATTTGAAGAGCTTCACCTTTAATGAGCTAAAAACAGCCACTAGGAACTTCCGGCCAGATAGTGTGTTAGGAGAAGGTGGATTTGGTTGTGTCTTCAAGGGCTGGATCGATGAGCATTCATTTGCAGCTACTAGGCCTGGCACTGGCCTGGTTATCGCAGTGAAGAGGCTTAATCAAGAAGGTTTTCAGGGTCACCATGAATGGCTGGTTAGTATTATCACAATCTACCTAAATATATTTCTATATAGAGCACAAACTTATATGCATTTTTCTTTCAATTGCCAAAAGATCCCTGCAAATTTTAAGATAAATTGATTTCAGAATTCTATTCTTACTGCAGACAGAAATTAACTACTTGGGGCAGCTGTATCATCCTAACCTAGTCAAATTGATTGGTTACTGCCTAGAGGACGAGCACCGGCTCTTGGTGTATGAATTTATGCCAAAGGGCAGTTTGGAGAACCATCTGTTTAGAAGTAAGTTCCTTATATGTCAAAAAGTACTAATCTCTATTAATCCAATTTGCTTACTTGAGAAGTGTAATAAAGAACTTACCTGGAAATGTTGATGCTGCTTTGATAGGAGCTTCTTACTTTCAACCACTTTCCTGGAATCTTCGGATAAAGGTTGCCTTTGGTGCTGCAAAGGGACTAGCTTTTCTGCATAGCGATGAGGCAAAAGTGATATATCGGGATTTCAAAACTTCGATATCTGCTTGATTCGGTATGTAAACAAGGTTTACCCTTGTGAATTATATGGTCTATGTCAAAGAATGAATCCAGAACTTAACTCTTTTGATCACTTTCATCCTGTCCATTGTTAAACAGAACTACAACGCAAAGCTATCTGATTTTGGTTTGGCGAAGGATGGACCAACGGGTGATAGAAGTCATGTCTCTACAAGGGTCATGGGGACCTATGGCTACGCAGCTCCTGAATATATGGCCACAGGTATATATATCAGTAAATATATTTTCATAAATGTTCTTATTTGACTGTGGATTGTATATAAATAGTAGTTTGAGCTCTTTTCTATTAGTTTAAAATTTTAAGAAAATCAATTCAATCCTAGCATTTAACAGAGTATTAGAGTTAAAGATTTATAATTAAACTTGGGCTGTCTATATTTAATCTACTCTTTAAGCCTAACAAGTTTGCTAGTTCGTTATATGTTAATTAATAAGAAAAATAGTAAATTGTGTCATTTTCTATAAACTTAAGTATTTTAAACGCATCAACTCTATGACATTCTTCATATCTATTTGGTTTTCAATTCATTTTCTCAGTTGCCATCCTCCAAAAGTCAATAGTTGATCTGCATTTTTGTGTTCTTACCCTTTTTTCTCTTTCCATGAAGGTCACCTAACTGCAAAAAGCGACGTGTACAGTTACGGGGTTGTTCTACTCGAAATGTTATCAGGCAAGCGAGCACTTGACAGAAACAGGCCAAGCAGAGAACAAAATTTGGTTGAATGGGCAAAACCTTACCTTACCAGCAAGCGAAAAATCTTACAGGTCTTGGACTCCCGTATCGAGGGCCAGTACACACTGCAGCAAGCTCTCAAGGTGGCTAGCATAGCTATCCAATGCCTGTCAAATGAGCCAAAGCTCAGGCCAAGCATGGATCAAGTGGTAAGAGTCTTAGAGCAAATCCAGGACTCCATGAATGCAGACTTGATGCGATCCGACCCTGTCCGGAAAACCAACTGCCAGTCAAGAACTGGTGACAAGAATCACCAGAGAAGTGCTAATGGAGTCTGCATTGGAAAAGTTGCAGCTTGTTCTAGGCCCTCGGCTTCCCCACTTCGTACATAGAACACGAAATTGAATTCATACATGCATTTTTTTCCGGTTATGGAATTGAAAAAGAAAAAAAAAAAACAAGAAAAGGTACAGATGATATAACGAATGGTTTGTGTTTTTGAACTAGAGTATGTATTATGAGAGACGATTATTGTACAGTTCTGGATTTCCATAGTGTTTGAAAATCATTTTTCATTCTCTCATTTTCTTTCTGTGCCTCATTTATGATCAAAATTCAAGTCTTGGGACTCTCCAATTTCTTTCAGCACTTTATATAGATTATAACAAAGAGTGGAACGGAAAATTTTTCTCATTGGAACAGGATGTTTTTTCATCTTTTTCCGTTTCAGCATTTTCTGGCCCAGCTTCGAAGAGGAAATTCCTCCATAGACAATTTTAAACACATTCTCTTTGTGAAAACTCTATTCCTAATATACTATAAATTTTGATCAATCGTGTAAGTTCATATGTGTATTTATTATGCATAAAAGACAATTAAATTTAATAAATTCATTTAAGTAAAATGATATGATTAAATATATTTTGATTCTTATTGCATTAAATTAGAATGAGACTTTATTTTATATACAGAGATCAAAAATGTAAATTTTAATTTTATGATATATAAAATTAGAAATAACAAAAATTTTAAAAATATAAATAAACAGTTACGGTTCTCAAATTATATGATAGATATTTTTCTATTCTATTATTATATTACCATAATAGAGAAAATATAAAAAATTTAAATAACCAGAATATTAATTTAAAAGATTTACGGCACAACAAATATATTTCTTCTACTATAAATTTAGATACGTTTATTTTTTCAAATTTAATTTTAATTATTTAATAAAATATGATCATATTAATTTTAAAATTCTAAATAACAATCACATTGAAGTAAGATCTTACTTTAATATTATTTTACTAGTTTAAAAGTTTTATTTCATCTAAAAATAAAACTATTTTGAAGAAATAAAAATATACTAATATGATCCTATAAAATTTAGTTGTTAATTTATACATTTAGAAATTGGTAAATAATATTTAATTATTAATTGATGATAAGTAGTAATTATTTAGACACAAATGAGAAGTGTCTAATTAATATTTGGTTATTAAACGCACAACACATATTCACATTTAAAGGCACATGATAATAAAATTCTTACATTATCAGTAAAACAAAAATTAATTTAATCCAAAATTAAGAGTATAAACTAATATGAATAAAAATTAATAATACATAAACTAAATAATTTAAATAAATACGGACATTAAATTATCAATTAATGGAATTCACGTTTAAAGACACATGATAACAAAATGCTCAGATTTTCAGTAGAGCACATAATTTAATCGAAATTAACATACAAATTAATTTGAATTAAAAATTAATAATATATAGAACAAATAATTCTTTTAGCCATTAAAAAAATAAAAACAAATAAATCCAAAATAATCTAAGGGTATTTTCGTCTTTACACTCAAACCTGAGGTTTTAGCCAAAAATCCAGAGCAAGAATGGATTAAATTTCAAGCTAGAGGTTTTCCACGGTGGCTTACTTGTAACTCCATCGTCTTCTCCATTCTCTTTGCTCAAACACAGAGCATAGCAGAGATATAATTATGATAGCTACTGCTATGTCTCTCCTCCAGCACGTATGCTCCGCCCCTCTCGCACGTGCGGCTCGGCCGCGCTCCTTAACCACCGGAGCTACCACCACTGTTACCGTCCCCGCTCCCATCCCTTCCGCCGCATCTCCCGCACGTGCCCCACGCGTAGACGCGCACGTACTCCTCGGCATGTCGGAGCAGGAGCTTCAGCAGCTGGCCAGCAACTTTGGCCAGGTACTGATTATGCATAATAAATCTTATACTTTTTTTTGGGTTTCTCATAAAATTAAAATTTGATGCTTACTCTTTTCTTTGGATTGAATCATGTGGAGAGCGCATTTTCATCTTCTTGATTGTTTTTTACGTTTTTATATATATATGTATGTATGTATGTATATATGATGTGGAAATTTGTGTACAGCAAAGCTATAGAGGGATGTTTTTTACGTTTTTATATATATATGTATGTATGTATGTATGTATGTATATATGATGTGGAAATTTGTGTACAGCAAAGCTATAGAGGGAAGCAGTTACACCATCTCATTTACAAGAGGAAAGTTAAAGAGATTCAAGATTTCAGTCACTGTGGGTATTTTTCTCTTTTTTTCAGTATATTTTAAGTTAGTCAATGCATGTGAGCTTATGTGGTATGATTCTTTTGGCTTAACAGTGCCACTAGCATTTAGGAATGATCTTCAAGAAGCTGGGTTTAAGGTGGGGAGGTCGCCAATTTACAAAACTGTTACTGCAGCTGATGGTACTATCAAGGTAAAGAACAAATTATATTTATTGGTTTTTTGTTTGAAATTTCATTTTGGTATAGTTTTAGGAAGTCGTACTTGTATTGTGAAGTTTTGATGGAAGTCACTGGTTGAGCCACTCGTAGTTGTCTTACCATATTTTTGGTCTTCTTAATTTCAGTATGGATCCCACATTTTTTTTTTTAAATAATATGGATCCCACATTAATACTTGTAATGGGAGTTTTTCAATGAAAATTTGTTCAGGAAGTTACTCTCAGTGGTACTTTGAGATTGCGTTTGATTTAAATTTATTATGTTGAATATGAGCAGATATACATTATGAATGAGACAAAGATTTTTATAAAAATAGAACTCTAGTTTCAATTTCATTTCATATTCAATTCAAGTTATGTCTTTTCAACAATTCCCTTGGTAAGAAATAGTACAAATGTATATGTTTGAAGTTTAATATATTAGTGAAGTTAAATTATAATTAAATTCTACATATTAAATAATGAAGATTGAGAAATAAAATGAGAACAGAATAACCTTGAACCAACAGAGCGTAACTGGATGACTTGGTGGTCTTACACTAATAAATTGTTGGCCCTTTTGTGAGAACATTATCGTGCAATGGGTGGATAGAAATAGTTGTAATACCTGATTCAACACCAGTGGGGGAATCACAGTACAGAAATATGGTAGTTTCAGTCCCAAATATATAGATTTGTTTCTTTCCCAAGATTTTTCCCGCTGTATTTTTTTTAATCTTCATTCATGTAAATAATTTTGCAGTTATTGATAAAGCTGGCGGATAACAGATTGATTGAGACTGTCGGGATACCTGTTGAAGATGGAAAGGGGTCGATGCGCCTTACTGCTTGTGTCTCATCACAGGTGAGCATCTGACATTGGGGAAACTGCCTATTCTGTTGCAGCTTTCTTCTATTTCTTCATGAATTTTCTCTTGTTCCTCTTTGATAGCAATTTTTCCCTACTACTTGTTGATGTCAGGTTTCTGTGGTAATAATTTCAATAATTTTTCTCTTTTTTTTGGGTTTTTGAAATTCAGGTTGGCTGCCCATTGCGCTGCTCATTTTGTGCCACTGGAAAGGGAGGGTTTTCAAGGAATCTTCAGAGGCATGAAATTGTCGAGCAGGTCTGTGTTTTGCCCCTCATTTTCATTCAGTAATGTTGATAGGCTTGTCGCACTTCCTGAATGTTTACTATTTACATTTGACACGAGGGATTAGATCAAATGTTCTTTTTTTCCTTTTGAAAGTGCATGCTGATATGGCTGTATCCATCAAGACATACATGCATCAAAGTAAATTTTGAATTGTTTCACATAGTGTCCTATATATCTACATGAATTGGACACATGCAGATATTGGCTATTGAGGAGATATTCAAGCACAGGGTAACAAATGTAGTTTTCATGGGAATGGGTGAGCCAATGTTGAACCTGAAGTCAGTACTTGAGGCACATCGCTGCCTGAATAAGGTACCTTTTTACTGCATCTTGTTATATGTTATCTAGATGCTTCATTTGTTTTGCTTGTTTTTGCTATATGCTTATTTGTCATCGAGCTTTAGTTAATAAGATAAAAGTGGATTGAGGCTATAATAGATATTGAGTGAAGTAAATGAATGCTTGTCCCAATGAGATGCACATTACCATAAAATATGCTATTTACTCTCTAAGAGAACAGACAGGGATTGAAGATAGAAGAAAGCTCTTGATGTCGGAACGTTAGGTTATTAGCTCTCTTATAATATGCTTCTTTCCTTTCTCTCTTTTTCATAAAACTGATTTCTAATAACTATTATTTCATACTATATTTACTTGAGACATTATTTGCGGCAATTAGCAGAGATTCATATCCTTGGGTGGTAGTTTGGAAAAAAAATCTTGGATAATTATGGTGGCTTTCATAAAGCTAGTTATTAAGCTGGAATTCCCTTGCTTACTTAGTATTGAAGCAGGAGTGTCAAGTTGTCGTTTGAATAATTCATGATAGCTTGAGGTTTGCTTTTTCAGGACATTCAAATTGGGCAAAGAATGATAACAATTTCTACTGTGGGGGTTCCAAACACAATTAAAAGTCTGGCTGCTTGTAAACTCCAGTCAACTTTGGCTGTCAGGTGTGTTTTATTGAATACTCCCTTTCTGTAAATTGGGTGTGTTAAGTTGACCAGGAAACCATGCATCATTTGAAATTTAAGTTCCACATTTTTATTTTTTTGAAGTACACTTGTTCTTTAGTTTATGAAGATGAATACTTGGTCACCATATTTAATTACCCTGTAATTTTGTTGTGCTGATATATTGGTTGGTCAATGTTTGTATACTTAATTTCATTTTTATGGATGTATACTTGTTCCTTTCAATAAACATTTTCTTCTTTTTATTGTGCACTAGTTTACATGCACCGAACCAGAAACTTAGGGAAAAAATTGTGCCTAGTGCAAAAGCCTATCCCTTGGAGGCAATTATGAAGGACTGCAGGGATTACTTCCATGAGACCAGTCGGCGAGTGTCATTTGAATATGCCCTTTTAGGTATTTGCACTTGGAAAACTTACATTTTTTCCTTGTATCGAGCATCTAACAACAGGTGTATGTTTTGGCAGCTGGTGTCAATGATGCAATAGAGCATGCAATTGAACTTGCAGAGTTGCTTCATGAATGGGGACGGGGTTATCATGTAAACCTGATACCTTTCAATCCAATTGAAGGCTCTGAGTATCAGCGTCCATACAAAAAAGCAGTATGTCAATGAACATCTGTCCTTCTCTTTAGTTTCTCTCAGTATATGAATAATCAGTTTATTAAAATTTGATACATTTATTTTGTTGGTCACTCTTCTATCATTTTATTTTGACAGGTGCTAGCATTTGCTTCTACTCTGGAGTCCAAAAAAATAACAGTTAGCATACGCCAGACGAGAGGGCTGGATGCAAGTGCAGCTTGCGGTCAACTAAGAAACCAGTTCCAGAAAAATCCTTTGCTCCTGGAGTCAGACAACCTACAATCTCAACCAGGCATAGCAGTTGAATGTTGATTATGAACACAGATGGATGCACGTTCTTATACCTACTTTGTCATGTACCATCCTCTTTAATATATGAAGCTCACTGAAGTTTTGCCAGATAAGGCATATGGTATAACTGATCACTGCCCCAGCTAGCTACATTGAGTATGTAAGTTGAAACTGTTGCACTACACTTTTTGACTGAGTTTCTTTTGTGCGAAAGGCAGAGTGGCAGGGGAGGATTGAGGAATTGATTTTAGATGGTTTCATGTAGCTGAGTTACCAAACTAGATCACCCACAACTTGCAAACGACGTGTAAGATCAGGGATCCCTTGGATTTTTTTGTTTTGTGAGAAGGGAAGTTTGTTATAGTTATATTCTTGATAATGTTAGGCAAATAATCCTGATGGGTTGTTAAGTCTCTATATGAGACAGGCACTTCAAAAAGGCATCTGTACATAGAATTTTGTTGAGTTAATGAGAATTTTGTTCTTGATAGTTTATGAAGCTATGATGTATGTGATTCCTTCAGGACTTAGGTGGTCAGGTAAATACCTCTTCACTCTTGGGCTCTCGTTCTCTAGCTCCAGCAGCGACTCAACCAATCAGGTCTTAGCTCTAGCCTATAGCCTCCAACTCCAATGCGTCAATCGGTTAGGGTAAAGATACCAATTTACCAATTTGGCTATAACTTTGTACCATTTTGAAAAATTTTATTATCATGTTGACTATAATTTGTTATTATCGATTTTTAACTTTGTACTTATTAGTCAAGATGATAATAAAGATAGCAAATAAGATAATGAAATATAAAAAAATGGTAATGAAAATATAACAAAAAGTTATTTACCTCCACTAATAAAAATTCATCCATGAAATGCCAAAGTAATAAATTCATTCCAATGTTCTTAAGGAAGCAAAAATATCATCTTACAAGTAAGATTCATTTAGAATTTATTCGTGTAAAAAGAAAAATAAAAGAGACTAATAAATAATTGTTATATTTTATATTTAATTTTATTTTTTATATGTCATTTTATATTTAGAATGGTTATTGTATAACTATTTCATGTTGAAATGTATTAAAAGTTATTTTATTTAAATATAAGATACAAATAAAATTATTAAGAAGTTATTAAAGTATATAGAATTCTTAAATATTTTTACACTTTATGCAACAACTCCAAGCTTTTTAAACAAAGTAGGTCACAAAAGAAGGAAAACTAAAAACTTTTTTTTTTCAATTTATAAAGACTCGTAGCTTTTTTCTTTATGACGTGTCTATTCACTTCAACGTGCTCAACAATCATATTGCACTGGATTATATGCAATACTAATAATAAATTTATCATCACGTTAGACTCTATGAGAACATCATATGAAATACCTTGAACTTGAAGCATAAGTGTGAGCAAGTTACATATAGCATCAATTAGAGTCGAGGCAGTCCTGAGCATGAGTGCACTACATGAGCGTGAGTAGGGTGTGAGTGCTATGCACGTAGAAAATGTGAGATTGGAGCTAAGAAAAGCCTTAGCATAAGCAAATGAGTGCAGGAGAGAAAATTAATAACATACATATTAAGTTAAGGTATTCATTTCTAATTTTAGAAAATTTTTTTCCTTACTAGTTATGATCGAGATCAAATCAATTTTTTAGATCTTCTTATCTGAAAACCGAAAATCATATTGGATTAAAAATTGTACCAAGATCCAATTTTAAGACGTGAATGAAAATTTACATATGTTATCTAAAATATATAAAAAATACAATGAGAACAAACGTAAAAAATTTATTTCTAATATTTACAGATCTTTTATCATTTTAACCAATCAAACTAATAATTTTAACATCATAATTTTTTTCTTTATATAACTATAAAATGTAATAATTTATTTATTAAAAAATTTGTTATATTAAGTTATTTATGATTATGAAAGATTTTGTGATTTTTTTTTTGAATCTATAATAAAAAATAAAAATAATAAATTACGATTCATAAAAGTTTAAAAATAAAATTTGATTGGAAAATTTATATTTATTTTCCTTAAAGAATATTTATATGATCCAAATTTTATATTTTGATACTTTTAAATCATCTACATCAATATTTATATATTCTCATACATAATTTATATTATACCATACAATAAAGTGATTTTTTAAAAAGTTTTAATTAAAAGTGATCTGGATTTAACCATTCAAAACGGGTCAACCCGCTCGTTTTGGATCCGAATTCTAGTTATATAATGTTTTCCCCCAAACCGACGTTTGTTTTCCTCAAGAGTTAGACGTACTTAACGCAAAATACGTAACAGCAGGGTGATTTACTTCAGATCGAAGTCAGGCTTCGTTGTTTCTGTCTGAGAGTATCGTTGAGCAGGTAGTAAACCGTTTGTTACCTTCTTCTTCTCTCTTGTTCGTATCTATGCCTTTGCAATTGATCCCTAAAAGAAGAAATCGAAAACCCTAAATTTAAATACGAAGTCCGAACTTTCAGCAATCAGTTCGATGTGATTTTATCATGATTCTTAATCTTTATGGGGTTGATAGAATTTCTTTAATGGAATGTACGGATATATTTCGATGAGTAGTTTCAGTTGTTTATTTCTTGCCTTTAGTGTGTATCTTGCGATTAAGTTGTCGGATTTTCTGTTTTTCTTAAAATTGTTTTTTGAGCTGTTTGATGTGATTGAGAATAAATTGCGGATACGGTGGTAGGAAATACTATGAGGAGGTACAGTCCGGAATATTATAGTCCTCCAAGGAGAGGGTATGGTGGTCGGGGAAGGACTCCTCCGAGGAGGGGATATGGTGGAGGTGGTGGGTATGAGAGACGCAAGGGCCCGAACCATGGGAGTCTGTTGGTTCGCAACATTCCTCTGGATTGCAGGTATATTTTTGCTTGTTCTGATTCTTTTACGTTCTACAGTGGTGCAGCTGAAACTCGTATTTGAATATTTGGGTTTACTTTTCTCTTCTTGTTTAATGGTGGTTATCGGTTGCAGACCAGAAGAACTTCGGATCCCTTTTGAGAGATTTGGGCTTGTCAGGGATGTGTATATTCCTAAGGACTATTACACAGGGTGAGCATTCCCCCAGAAATTTGGTCACTACTATCTTTCTAATGATAACTTTGTTATTTTATATTTCCCGATAATGCTATATGGATGCCACTTTCAAATGCAAATGTATATTGGCTGCATGAAGTTTTGAACAGCAAAACTTAAACTTGAACTCAGAAATAGTGAGGACCTAACCTCTGAGCTCAGCCAGTCATTTATTGGTTTATTTCCCATTCAATCAGTTTGAACAGTTTGAGAGTCTTAACTTATCCAGTGCAAATGAGTGGCAGTTGACACCTTTTTGAATGTGTTCTTTGTTTCTCATCCACAACATTATATATTTATATATTGGTTTTGTTGTCTAAAAAAAACATGATATATTGGTTGTCAATTTATGTTTGATGAGTCCTTCCGCAAACATTCTTTATGAGTGGTAGGACATGTCGTAATCATTTTTCCATTTACTGGAGTGAACTTTGGGAAACTAAGCTTGGAATGGATTTTGAGTTGTGTATTTTTCGATGAAGAATGAGTCTGGCAGTTTGGTTAGGGTTCCTACATGAACCTGAATGATTACAAACAGAATGAGTCTGGCAGTTTGGTTAGGATTCACTATATGAACCTGAATGATTATAAACCAGTTCAGAAAACATAAGCACACTTCAATTTGTTCTTATTTTGTAGTTGATGTCATTTTAGGTAATTTTACTTGTTTTCCTGAGGACCATATCAGGCTTAAAAAATGCTTATATAGTTAGTTCTATTAGGTCTGTCCACGTCTACTTCCTTGCCTTACTTTTAAGTGGGGATGGAAAAGCTGGAAGTTAAATTACATGTTAAACTGTATGTCAAGGTACTTTTTTTTTGGTTTTTCATAGTGAATTAAATTTTGAACTGGTTTGTCAGGGGGTATATTGGTTTGAAGTTAAAACAAGCCCAAGGCCCCACAATTGATGAAGGCCTACTCTTTTTCATTGCTTAACATATTGGTTGCAAGGATGTTAAGAGTAATCTTCAAATGAAGAATGTTCCCTTATGAAGAGATACTATATAATTACACAATCTATAGAAGTTTGATGAGGAAGAAGATTGATCCTTGTCCAATTGAAGACTATTTGAGGAGATTTTAAGTTTCGGATCAAGTTCTACTTATATTTACAAGCATGTGAAGAATTTGCAAGTCACTTTCCTCTTTTGAAGTTGCATGTTCTTGACCGTTAAAGAAAGGTGAGCTACTAAGCGTTGCTTATGTAAACTCAGTATCCACATTTGTGGAAGTGCCCTGGAGCTGATGTTTAGATGGTAAACAAAGGTACAGTTAAGTCATGGCTTTGCCCGAGTGATGTGGTGTGCAATTTTTATCAAACCTTTGTCCTTGAATGTCTAGTGTTTGGTCATGCCAAAGTTTCAAATCTGAATGAAGAATTTGCTGTATATACAGAGAACCTCGAGGATTTGCATTTGTGCAGTTTGTGGATTCTTATGAGGCCATTGAAGCTCAGCGCAGTATGAATGGAAGAACATTTGCTGGGAGAGAGATATCTGTGGTAGTTGCTGCAGAGACAAGGAAAAGGCCTGAGGAGATGCGTGCTAAAGCTAGAGTTAGGAATTTCTCTGTTTCGTCTGTATGCTTATACATATTTTTCCTATTCTTTTGGACAATTAAGAAAGAGATAATTTTGATTTGTTTTCTGCAGGGAGCCGTCAAGCTATGAAGGACGACCATCATCTTATTATGGTATGCTGTTTTTTTTTTTATTTTGATTTTTTCTTTGGGACCTTTAGTGGACTTGCAGTATGAGAACTGTTATGTTTAGGACTCACAGGTTTTGAATACATTGTGAAGTGTATTTTACCTGGTCTCCATGTAGTTCAAAGATGTACCTTTTGCTTGGGAGTTCTTTACATTGTTGTTATGCAGTCAATTGGTGTCATGTTTAAGAGTTATGATGAGAACAATGTTTTTTAGGAGTGTGCCTGTCTTCAGGACCTTGTTTCATCTTTAAAACATTTAAAATTTCCCTTGATTTACATTTTAATATTTAAAGTTGTCACAGGCTATAGAAATTTTAAAAAAATGAACTCAGAATTTAAAGTTTGCTTTTGTCACTTTGTGTCATGCTATGTTACAGGGCTCTTTCTGTGTATTTATATATTCCTGATCAATGCAGAGATTTGATTGATTCAGGTCTCAAAGGATTGGTCCTAGATTTAGTACTACTGTCGTGCTCCCAAATTAAATAGTTTGTGAACGAATGGCTTAGCAGGAAAGAGCTGTTATAGCTTTAGCATAAGCATTCTTGTTTGCTTCTCTTTTGTTGTTTTGAATGTTAAGCTGGTTGCAATATCAATGCTTATGGTTACCATGTTGTTGCTATATAATATTTTCATGAATCATCCGCCCTTGAGAATAAGGGCATTAATTTCCTTAATGGTGATCCTACAAATAATTCATATAACTTGCTGTCTTTTTTATGGTATAATGATGGCCTTTTTGGCCAAAACTTGGGTGTAAACTCTTTAGGGATGTCTCCAGTGTAGTTTTGTTGGACCTAGGTTTACTCTCCTAGCGTTTTGACTCTCTCCTTCTCAAATCTAATGTCCATGCTTAATGAAGTTGTTGATTGAGGTTGAAGCTAAAGAAACCATGTAAGTTACATAGTTCATCCTAAACAGATGGATTGTAGGGAGCCTGTTTCTGATGTGTTCAAGTTTATGCAGAACATATGGCTAATGGAATTTGATCTCCATAAATTTTTGGAAATATAAAATTTCTGACTGGACTCCCATCACCTTTTTTGCTTTTAAAATAAAATTCCAAATTTCTTTTGTGCATAATATACATCAGGACGTTCACGTTCTCGTTCAATATCTCATTCGCGCTCTCCCCGCCGTCCTTCAGGTTCTAGAAGTCGATATCGTTCAAGGTTAGTTCAGTGATGTAAACTGCTATTGTCTCTCCGTGTTGCCAGAGCTAGTTAATAAATTTGCATATCTAACCTTTGTAGGTCATATTCTCCTGTCCCCAGACGAAGGGATGACTACTCTATTTCCCCAAGTAGAAAGCATGCTGACTACCCAAGACAGTCGAGGGATGCTCCACGAGAACAGGATGGTGATTACAATCACAGATCGTATTCTCCAGGTTATGAAAATGGTGTTGAACAGAACCAAAATGGAAGTGGTTATGCTGAGTGAGTTCAAGCCTGCCATTTGTGTTATATTGGTGACTGTGATATTCATTGGTTCTTATAGTAGCATTAGCATTATTTTTATATTTTTTTCCATGAATTATCATATTATGCCTGCACATTAATCATATGTTATTGAAATACAATTTGGTTTATTTTTTTCCTGGTAAGTTGGGGTTTGTGCCAAGGAACTGTTTTACATTCTTGCTCTAATGCTAGGGATACACACTGTCTTCCAAGCATGTGTTTGGTAGGAAGCTGTATTCCTAAAGGCAGAGGGGTGGACCATTGTATTAATTCAGAGAGATGGAGCATGTGACTGGATTTGATTAGCATCTTTGCATTTCTATTATACTGGCTTAATGGTTTCATAATAATTCTCTCTTTTCCAGTGATTGGGTATGCTCATATCAAATTTGTTGCAGGAAATCTGCTTATGGTTCTGAAGAAAGAGGGGGAGATCATTGGAGATCAGCGCCTGGTAGAGCAGCATCAAGGTCTCCATCTGGATCAAGGTCTAGATCTGCTGATTTGTCACCTAGGCTGAGCTGATGAGCAGAGAAAATTTGGGGAAAGAAGGTGGAGATGTTACTCCCTTTGTCAAGTTTGTACAATTGTCAGGTCATCGAAGCAGGTGGTGTAGTTATCTAGAGGTAATTGGCTCAATCTTGCAGATGGTAGGAGCCTGTAGGTGTTGGCTTGATATCATAACTTAACAGATTGATTTCATCTTCATGCTTTGGCTTGCATAAAGGATTTTAGTTTTGCTCGTTTGTTGTGATAACGCAATCAACTGAAGTTTATATCTATCTGTTCTGTGCATGTCAAGTAAAGTTCAATCAGTTTCAGATGGTTTCTTCTTTTGGAGACGAAAAACGGAAGATAGATTAAGGTACTATGTGGCTGAGTGAAATTCGGTAACCTTAGTACAACTCAAAATTAGAAGTTACACGGTAGTGAGCTCAGAAGAATTTTATTTTGGCATTGAATTTTAAAGTAATAATATTTTCTAGGACACCAGTGGGATGATAGGACGGACTTGTTGATGGTAATATGAATCTGCTAAGCTAGAGAGAGAGTCCTGGTAGTTTGAATGTAACTCAATTCAGTGATGTGATAGGTGTTAAAGCTATTGTTGACCTTTTTTTCTCCCCGGGAAAACCTTCTCTACGTTGTTGCCTCCATATATAGTATCGTAGTTTTGGTTGCCGCAATCGTAAGGGGAACTTCTCTTAATGTTTTAGTTTGTTGAAAGAAATAGAGAGGAAGGAGAGCAATGGTGGTGGATGTTTCAAGGTAAAAAATATTCAGGCATGGTATACTTTTTAGTTACTCGTGTATTAATATATATATATATATATAGAGAGAGAGAGAGAGAGAGAGAAGCAATTTGGTGAAGAGGGGAGGGTAGGCACTAGGCAGGCAACTTCTACATATGTGTATATATATATATATATTTCTATCGATCTTGTACTTTGTTTGGTATTTCCAAGTATTCATCCTTTTCAAATACCTCACTTTTATGCTGCAGTTGGTAATATTCAGGAAGGTCTAAGAGTATTTTAGCTCTTACCAAATGAAAATTTTATATATATATAAATATTTTATGCATGTCATATTCTTAGTCATTATGGTAGTCCGCACGCATAAATGATTTTAATCAATTGTCTTAGACGAAACACGGTGTCTACATGCAGCTCCTTAAGACAAGACTCGGTAAATCCATGGAAATCAATGTCGTTCATATCGCTTAGCAGCCAGCCACCACATCAAATTACGTTTGGAGAACGTTAATTAATTTAAACAAATGATTAACGAGTGACATTTTGCTTATAATAAAGACATATATCATCTGTTTAATTCCTGCAATAAAAACTTTATTAAAAAAAAAAAAAACTACTGTAATTAAAACTTTAAGTAATAATTAACATTAAATACATGATTTTTTTTTTATTTTAAATGAAGTGTACAAATTTTTTTTTTTGATTTATTAGCATAAATCACTTTTTTTTAAAGGGAAACTGTCCTGCGCAGGAACGAACTTATAAATATCTATACTCTCTCTCTTAGGAGATTTCTTTTAATGAAATTTTAATAAAAAAATATTATAGAAGAAATTTTTTATTAAAATTTTATATATTTAATTAATTAAGTGGTAATGACACTTTAATACAACCCAATGTCCCAATGAAAGAAAACAAATATAACGTAATTTTATAATGAAAATTCATGACTTCAACACCGTATACTGGAAAAAGGAGAGAGAAAAAAAGAATGATTAGCTATAATAAGAAAATTTATATTATCAATAATTGCCCTCTAGACTAACTTTTATGGAGGGGACTATATTAAAATAAAAAAAAAAAAGAAATTGCTACTAAATTAAATTAACACGAAAGATTCTTGATCTACATCACTTTAACACCTAACAAGTTGGGTTTAATAAATTCCTCTATTAATAGTAACGACCTGACCTAATTAAAGATTTTTAATTTCAGTCTTCTGAATGCTTACAAATTACGGGGCAGATTAAGACAAGTCTTTGAGCTGAACAAGTCAACTCTTAACTTGGTTTGTTTCTTTCTCCTCGTTATTTATTTCTTTGGTTCAATCTTGACCAACTTTCAATTATATATATATATATATATATATCGCTCGCCTCTGTCTATATATATATGCACAACATATGTACGCACAAAACACACCCGACTTATTTCTTGTTTATAAACCATATTCATAGCTAGACATAGTAAGCAGAGACATTCATCTTTCCAAAGAATCCAAGATATACATACATATATATATATATATATAGAGAGAGAGAGAGAGAGAGAAGATGGCAATTGGGATAATGGAGGTTTTCCTAATCAAAGCAAAAGGCCTTAAAGATGCTGATTTTTTTGGTATGAATACATATACATACATATATACGTACATACGTATATTATACCTTGATGCATGGCCATCTCGGTCTGCTTCTTTTTTTTTTTTTTCTTTTGATATAACACAATATATATAGACGTACATACGTATATATGTGTATATATGTGTTTCATGGGCGTATTACTCACGACATATATATATATATACATATATATGGGTTTTACCTAAGTAAATATGTGTTTATTATATGAAAAATATGGTGGAATTAACTTATTGCTGTGATGAATGCAGGTCGTATGGATCCTTATGTTGTGATTCAATACAAAGGACAAGTGCGCAAAAGCAGCGTCGCCAGAAGTATGCAATTTTATTTTTATTTTTGAACGAAACAAATTAAAAATTATTCATATATATATATATATATATAGTTGGTAGCATAACTTGATCTAAAGATATACTATGAATTATTGATAAAAAACAGAAGAAAAGTCTTAGCCGGCGGCTGTGATTAATTATGAAATTCATGCAGGGGAAAGTCTATGACAATATGTCCATTGAAGTGAATATATACACACACACACATATATATACACACACATATATGTATATACATATATGTAATGGTGAAGTGGTGTCTATGAATGGAACAGGTGAGGGCAAAAATCCAGTATGGAATGAGAAATTCAAATTGAGGGCAGAATATCCTGGTTCAGGCGATGACTACAACCTCATTCTCAAAATCTTTGACAGAGACCTCCTTAAAGCGGACGACTACATAGGAACTGCTACGTGAGTTTATTACTCTATGCTTTAATATATAATTCTCTAACATATATATATATATATATATATATATATACACACACGTACATATTTACTTGATCATTTTTAACAGATTAATATTGTATATACAGGATATATGTGAGGGATCTATTAGCACTAGGAGTAGAGAGTGGAACTGCTGAAATGCAAACCAACATTCACAGAGTAGTTCTTCAAGATCGAAGTTACCGTGGAGAGATTCATGTTGATGTCACTTTCACCACTTGGGTAATTTATATATCTTTTTTCTGCATATATATATATATGTACATAAGAATTAGATATATATATATATATATCACTATTATTTAATCGTTCTTCCTTAATTTACTTGTAATATAATTTACTACAATTATATAATATTTAACAATTAATTACGAAATTACTTTATATCCCACTTCACAATATTAATTCCCTTCTGCCAGTAGAAAATTTTCTGATATATATTAATCAACATTACTCCAGTATCCATTAGAAATAAATAATAATTTTGTAAAATAATGATATTTATTAAATTTTTTAAAATATTTAAGAACGTAAATAGTGTGAAATATTATAAAATTTTGTTGAATTTATTTTTTTATTATTATAATTTTGATTGTTCTTATATTGGATTCTGTAGGAAGAAGATAAGATTAATGAAGAAGTGTTGGGAGGATGGAAGAGCAGCCATTTTTAAGATCTCAAGCTCATTACCCCGCCATTTGCTTTTATTTGTATGACCAAAAAAAAAAATAAAAAAAAATTCTAGAGGAAGCTGTAAAAGATTAGTCATTGAATGTAATTTTATGTTTGATTTTCATTAAATGGGAATTACATTTACTGCGTGGTTAATAAATAATAAACAACTTTATAAACTCTTCAATAATTATATTCCAACTTCACTCTACGTTTCTTCTTTAATAAGAACTTGAGAAAATAACGGGAACGCATAGCTCCATGAAAGATCCACATAGTGCCTGTATCTACATGTACATGTATACGTATAGGTATTTTAGAGTACAGAAAAATAATCGTGTGTTTCAGAGGTGTACGTCAACCTCTTCTCTATACATGTATAAGCATTCGCTTTCTCTCTTTGGAAAAACAGAATATTCAAGAGAACCAAAAAAAAAAAAAAAGCAACCTTATTAGGGTTTCTCCTCGCCCATCTCTGCTTATTTTACCTTCTTTTTCTTCCTTGTCTCTCCCTCTTTTGTCTCTCTTTTTTCATCTGCTTTTCATCTTACTGAAATTGATTTACTATTTCTCTGAGAACATTTTTATCAGTATTACTTAAATTAATTATTTTGATTAATTTTAACTAAGTTATGTTTGCTTAATATAATTTTTTAACTCTAATCAAAATCTTTACAATTATATAAATTTAAATATTTTTATAAGTAGAATAATATTTTGTCATTTCTTTTTTTTATGCTTAATAAAATTAACCGGTGGCAGTACATGCATCTAATAAAATATTCACAATATATTTTTGCTTTTCAAAATAAACTTTTAATCATTATGTAATCTGTAAAGGTAACAGACAATTAGTATAATTTAATGTGTTGATTATGAATTTAAAAAAGCTGATC